AGCTACCGCTAGATGGTAAGCCAGGGTGTATCAATTTTGAGTAAATTAGCGTCCTTAAATTTCGAAATATTGAAGTTTCAAGCATTTCTGAAATTTACCATTATATGAAAAGCGGTCGTAATTTTAGTCCGATTTCAATAATTTTCAACATTTTGCTTTTATGTGGCCAGCACAATAACCACACCGAGTTTGGTACAGATTGGTATAACGGTTACCGATATACATATATGTGACCATAAGTGGGCGGTGCCACGCCCATTTTCCAAAATCTTACCATAAACGTATTTCTTGGTAAAGAATTGTTGCAATCATCAATTTTGAATAAGTTAGCTTTAATATTTACTGATTTATCGAGGATTTCGTATTACCGAAAATTACTGTTATATGGGATGTGGGCGTGGTTATTGTCCGATTTTTAAGATTTTCGGCCATTTAGTATGCTGTACCAAGGCCAACAACTGTGCCAAGTTTTGAAGAAATTGGTGCAGCGGTTACCAAGATATACACATGTAACCATAAGTGGGCGTGGCTACGCCCATTTTCCAAAAATTTATAATATTCTTATTTCTCGTCTGAAAATTATTGTAAATATCAATTTTAAGTGAATTACCTTCAGTAGTTACTAAAATATCGCAGTTTTCGTATTTCTGGAAATTACCGTTATATGGGAAGTGGGCGTGGTTACAGTCCGATTTCGCCCATTTTCAATAACAACCTAACTTGGATTAGCGGAAACCTACATACCATTTCGTTGAGATACCTCAATTTTTGCTCGAGTTATCGTGTACACGGGCGGACGGACAGACGGACGGACAGACAGACATGGCTTAATCGATTTCTCTATTCATTCTGAGCATTTATGTATACATTTGTCTATATCTAACTCGATTCGTTTCGGCTGTTACAAACAACCGTTATGTGAACTTTAATTAATATACCCTTGTGTACAAGTGCGCTCGGGTATAAATGTTCAAACATTAACATAGAAAATGTTACTCATACGCCATGTACATAACAGTACGACCTTGCACGATATGACGTATGAGCATGAGTGCTCTTATTTCATAGAAGAAGTTATTGCACATTTCCATCTGACCAATCAGAAATTGTTTATTTCTCAATCGATTTTTATCGTTAGAAGCTTAATTTTTTTTGCAAAAGAAAAGGCTTTATTACGAATGAAAAAAATCATATTTGTAATTTTTTTTCTTGTTAAAGTTTAAAGTGTTTTGTCATAAATATGAAAATATCTTGGCAAAATTACCTGATCAGCAAAAACGATATCCTTAATGTAATATTAAGTTCATTTATGTGTTTCGGGGTTTTTGTGTAACTTCTCTGCGGTGTTATTTTATTAAAATTGAATCGGCGGTAAAACTGCACACCAAAAAATGTCTAAAAACTGTAAAAAAAATTTTTGAAATTTTGTTAAAAATTTTGCAACCCGTTTAATGTTTTAGACAAAGATTGAAACTTATGGAAATTTTTATGAATATTGTAAAAAACTTCTTTGTACTCGTACGCACGCACGCATACATACCTACATACAAATATTTACGTACATATATGTATACATACGTAGTAATTAATTTGTCCGTTATGAGGTACAGCGAAACAGTCAATGCGTTTGTTACACAAATAATGTCAAGCAAACAGTGTGTGAGTGAGTCATGCGTCCCATGATGGTACAACACTATTATACAGCTCATGTTCAGAAATTAACAAACTTTTGCAGTTCGTAAAGTTCAGCCAAGTTTTGTGTGTTGTTTTTTTGTTATGTTGTGTTGTTCTTTGTTCCAAGCGTTACTGAGCCCGATGTGAGTACTGTGGTGCTTTGTTCAGCGATGCGTTGTGGAGCACAAAGTCAAAAATGTTAATTCCTATCCTGTTTTGACGTACAACTTTTTGCAACACAAACATTTGGTGAGAGTAAATTTTGCGTTGTAAAACATTTTAACCACTCCAGTTCCACATTGGCGAACCCAATAAAGTTTTGTTGTTGTTGTTGTTGTTGTTTTTTGCTGCTCAGGCATGCCAAAAAGCGCCTTAATGTGTCGGGACGTATTTGGTATGATGCTAACTGCAGCGCTTGGTGCAAACTTAATTTTCGAGTGGAGTCACTTGGCTACTTAAATAGTACGTGTACTCCCCTGACGACGCTAATGACAGAGGCTCAGTTCGGCGCAACGCCCACGCGTTCCTTGGCATAACGCTTGCAAATGAGGAAATGCAACCTAGCAAAGTTAGAACCACTAACAGACAATGAGCAACTTAAACAACAGCAGGAGCAGAAACAGAGAACAAAATGAAGAACAGCATTGGAATAACAAACGCAACAAACATAGAAACATGGCAACAATAAAAGTAACTAACTCTTGCAAAGACAAGTTGAAAGTTAAAGGAAATAATGTTTTGCACTGTCCAACAACAGGATTTCTGCAATACTAAAACCACGACCTAATTTTGAACAAAGTACCACGTCTGAGTTTTAAGAGGTAGAGCATGTTGCCACCTTTTCAAAAATTATATTAAAATTATTTATAAAAACAAATCAATTATTACCAACTGGATATCAATCGAAATGGGTTTGAAAAGATTTTGATTCTTAGCTGAACTATAGGATGGTTGGCATCTGTTTAAAATGTCATATTAGGTAAGAGAAGTATGTAT